CTCGACCCCGCCGCCTCAGCTCACTCTATCCTGGCCTCAGCGCACGCTAAGCCGGGGCTTCGGCTCACTCTAGCCCGGCCTCAGCGCACGCTAAGCCGGGGCTTCGGCGCACGCTAGGCCGCTGTGTTTTTCGTTGTGAAAGCGAAACTACTTTGTTTGGCCTTCCAAAAATGGACACGACTAGAAATCAGTGGTTAAGTTGTATTTACAACACTGTTCCAGAACACTTCAACCCAAATATTCAGATGTGTGCAGCACATTTTATGGAGGACCGTTTCCTGATCCTGGTAGAGTAGACTACAATGCTGGCTGTTCTGACTCAAGTAAATTTTGTAAATTTTTTATATTTAAAGAGTTTTTATATTTTATATTTAAAGCAAGTTTTTTGGGCAAGGGCTTGTAGGGCTTGTAGTTTGTCATTTCTCCGATCACAAATGCAGACATGGTTTTATGTTTACGCGGCGCGATGCAACGCAACGCGTAAAAAGACAGTACAAGTCATTATAATCCATAATTATGTCCCCACTGGATGCAACGAATGCCTCGTTTATAATGGGTTTTCATGTTTTTGAATCATCGCTCCGGCCTGACAGGGCATCATCACAGTATGGTAGGGGCGTAACATTTCCGTCACACGCTTGAGGTATTCGGCCAATCATAACGCACTGGATAGCTGGCCAATCACAGCACACCTTGCTTTTCAGACCGATGAGCTTTGTAAAAATCAACGCGTTTCAGAAAGGCGGGGCATAGAGGAGAAACAATAATGTACAGTATGTGGAAAATAATGTTTTTTGAACCTTAAACCGCATAAACGCATTTAATTACACCAAATACACAAAATAATGTTCTTTTTAGCAACATCATATGACCCCTTTAATACATTAAAAAAATATAATTTATTCCTGTTATAATTTGATCCTTTTCAGTATCATTACTCCAGTCTTCAGTGTCACATGATCCTTTAGATTAGATTCTAATATGTTTTTAGGTGCTCAAGACATATTTCTTATCAATGCTGAAAACAGTTGTGCTGCTTAATATTTTTGAGGAATTTATAATACATTTTTTCAGGATTCTTCAAAAAAAAAAAAAAAGTTAAAAAGAATAGCACTTATTTTATTTAATTTTTTTTTAACAATGTAGTATTTAGTGTCACTTCTGCTCGCTTTAAGGCATCCTTGCCGGAATAAAAGATTAATTTCATCACATAAATCATACTGATCAAACCTTTGAACAGTAGTGTATATATTAATGAAAGCATATTAATTATATTAATTACCTCCTCTACTGGTTGCCATCATAGTAAGTTGACAGCCAACATTGATCATTTCCTGTAGTAAAGCAGGGCACTTCTTCATCACAAACCTTTGATCTGCAGAAGATACAAAACAGCTAATTAATTCACATTAATAACATGAATATTGTGTTTGGGTAGCTAAACTGGCAGAGCACGGCATTAGCAACACCACGGTCATGGATTTAATTCCCAGGGATAACACATATTTGGGTTAATATATTGCTTGAAAGCTGGTAGTTGGGTGTGTTATTATCCTACAGGATTAAATGTTGACACTTGAGAGGTGTGTGTGAATGCATACCCTCCTCTATGTTCTCAGAAACATCCATCCTGGCAAGGTGTGTAAGTAATAAGACTCGAGCCTTCAGGCTGTAGGGATAGCAGAACGGAGGCTCCTTCTTCTTCACATTAATGTTCCCCAGCTCCCGAATTAACTGCACAAAGGAACACAACACGAGCATTAAATTTGAATCATTATCCACTAGCCACTTCATTAAGTACTCTAAATCTTTAGCACAAAATAGTTTGAACATTTTACCTGTGGAACTTCTATGTTGTCTGTTGGTCTTATGATGGCCTCTTTGTTACTACGAGGATCAAATTCAAATGCTGCCGTCAAAACCATCACCAATCCTGTCAAACACAGAAGAGACTCAGTCTGAGGAATCTAAAAGATCTAAAGGGGGTCATAAAATATTTTCCTTCAACTTACGTTTCATGTTCATTGTAGGTGTTTTGTACATAAAGTGCATGAAAAGCTGTGTTGTGTTGATGAGGATCTGATCACCACTGTAGCGGATGGAGCGGTACCACCATGTGCCCTAAACAAAAAGGCTAGTTATTATTGGGTTTATCAGAATATTAATGAATGGAAAGGGTTTCTATACTACAGTTTCCAAGCACTTGTACACTACCTTTAGAAAGTTTGGGGTCAATAAGATTTTTTTTTAAAGAAATTGATACTTTTTATTTTGCAAGGACGCACTAAATTGATCATAAGTGATAAAGACATTTATAATGATACACATTAACATAACTGTTATCAACACTGAAAATTATAATGTTACTCGAGCTTGTGACACTGAAGACTGGCGTAATGGATGCTGAAAATTCAGCTTTTCTATCACAGAAATAAATGACTTAACACATTAAAATAGAAAAGAGATGTTTTAAACTGTAATAATACTAAACAATATTACTGTTTTTACAGTATTTTTGATCAATTATCTTTGTCAGCATAAGACACTTCTTTCGAAAACATAAAAATAAATAAATCTTACTGATGTTTTAAATTATATCTAATGTCAAAGTTATTTATTGCCACTAGAAGACTGGCTTACCACAACCACAGGAAGGATAACCATAAAAGCCAACCCATAGACCAGCAGAACCTGTGAAAGGCACAAACAGGTTTTGCAAGTTATTGCATTCTTGGTGTATTTATCTACTTATTAGTTGACACTTAAATTTGGTAAAAACTTAACTGACAGCTGGAAAAAATGAGTGGGTGAACTTACCAGCATGGAATTTTTCTGGTCAACAATCCACGCAGGAAGAGCGATTCCAAAACTTGTCACTGATCAAGAGTAAAAAGAAATACAGAGAAAGACGGAATAATGATGAATTTTCAACATAGGTAATACTAACGGAACAATTCTTTAGAAATAAGTTAACAAGTTAAAGAAACTGTCACCTCTTGGGCCATCAGGGTTGCCATACTTCTCCCAGTTATCCCGTGCTTCCTCATTAGTTAAACTGTGAGAAAGTATCAGCATGGACAACAATTTCAAAAACCCAGATGATTACATGCGGCACAGTGGATGACATTTTTATGAATAGCTTTTATGAACTGTATTGTGCTGCACCTCTAATTACACACTGCAATACCAACACCAACCCACACAGAAAAATGAGTTGCAACTGCTATAAATAACATGACATTAAATGTAAAAGGCAACAATAAATAAAAAAGGTGGTGACAGCAGTCTTACGCCGAGTAAGCTTTAGCAAGCTTCATGAACATGGCCTCATCTCCACCTTTATCAGGATGGTGTTTCAGAGACAGCACTCTGTACTGTTTCTTAATCTCAGCAATAGACACTCCCTAAACAGAAACATAATGGATCTATTAATCTTGAGAAGAAGCAGGTTAGAGATTAAAATGACAAAGAACAAGACAAGAAATGCGTCCTTACTGCTTCCAAGTGGAGGACCTCATAGGGGTTATACTCCTGGTACTCTCGATCTAATTTAGACACCTTATAGGCCAGGAAAAGAAATATTGCCCACCCAAACAGCAGGGCTGCTTTTCTAATATGAGAGAGAAGTACGTACATTTTTAGTATGTAAACAAAATTGACAATAAAATAGACAGCAGCTGCTATACGTCATGATGACTAAATAGAATAAAAGAGCAGATTTAAGCCATGAAAGACGGGGTATTCCAGAATACTCCACACATCTGATGCAAGCTTTGTTCTTTAAATAGATGGAGCAGAGCTTTGACGAGTGTCTGAAGTCATTGTCATGCTGAAGTAGGGATGTCAATTTTCGATCATTTCCATGATCGATTGTCGTTTAAATTAACGATCAATTAATCGTTAACCTTAATGCTGCAAAATGCGTCTATGCAGCCCGGCATGACAGGATGTGCAAAAGTTACTAAAAAAAACCCCCCGCTTTAGTCTGAATAAAATGCTAGTAGCAGGATTGTAAAATGAACAGATGTGATTATGATCATTTTATAAAATGAAGAGAGCTCGTTTGAGATCATTTTACTTTGTTGACTGTTTCCTATCCCGACACGGAGACCGCTGAACGCGCCTCTTTAAATGGTTTCGTGGTGCTAGTTGTTGTATTTTAAAACACAACTGCAATGTTTTCAACTGACATTATGGCATTTAAAATTAAATTATTCCAAACGTAACTGTGGCGCGTGTGGCTGTGCTGCGCAGTCAGTGAACCGCTTCCATCGGCGCTGCTGCAGCAAAACACACTGTTGCTCACATGAAACATTATCATGCGAGTATTATGACCAGTACTTAATTTGATCCTGCTGGATCCTGTTCCGGAAAATGTCAGATTTTGAATTTTTGCGTTGCGGTAGGCCTATTTGTTTTTAAAAAATCCGGCATTTACAGTGCATTAGATCGTGACAGTGCATGCATGCGTGCATACGAGACGGAGCGAGCGCGGGTCATGACGAGGCATTCCCCATAGCGACCCCTAGAGGACGCAGTTCGAAGTTCCCTTGAAAGGGAACCCTTATTTCTTCCAAATATGTGACCCTGGACCACAAAACCAGTCTTAAGTCGCTGGGGTATATTTGTAGCAATAGCCAAAAATACATTGTATGGGTCAAAATTATTGATTTTTCTTTTATGACAAAAATCATTAGGATATTAAGTAAAGATCATGTTCCATGAAGATATTTTGTACATTTCCTACTGTAAATATATTAAAACTTAATTTTTGATTAGTAATATGCATTGCTAAGAACTTCATTTGGACAACTTTAAAGGCGATTTTCTCAATATTTAGATTTTTTGCACCCTCAGATTCCAGATTTTCAAATAGTTGTATCTCAGACAAATATTGTTCTATCCTAATAAACCATACATCAATGGAAAGCTTATTTATCCAGTTTTATCCAGTGATGTATAAATCTCAATTTCGAAAAATTGACCCTTATGACTGGTTTTGTGGTCCAGGGTCACATATAGTGTTTTTGTCACAAAATATTCTTTCTTGATTTATCAAGGCAAAGCTTTTACATTATTTTGAATGCAAAGTAATCATTTGTGACACTGACTGATATTTTTTTAGACAACAAATGGATAGTCTAATTTGTTTGTGGACAGTATTTTTTATTTATTTATTATTATTCCTTTATTATGGATACATTAAATTAATTAAAAATGACATACATTTATAATGTTACACAATATTTCTATTTCAAATAAAAGTTGTTGTTTTTTTATCTGTTTTCAACACTGATAATACTAAGAAATGTTTCTTGAGCAGCAAATCAGCATATTAGAATGATTTCTGAAGAATCACGTAACACTGAAGACTGGATTAATGACTGCTGAAAATAAATTAAAATTTTAAATATATTAAAATAAAATAATCATAATTTCACAATTTTTACTGTATTTTTGTTCAAATAAAAGCAGCCTCAGTGACCATAAGAGACTTTCAAAAACATTAAAAATCTTTTTTAACTGTAGTGTAATTTTATTCTGTCCAGTGATAAGTTGAGATGTCAAGATGAGTGATGCTTTTCTGACCTCCTAACACTACTGTTTTTGAATTGTGTTGAATTATGTGGTTTCATATACTATGTGATCTGCTGTTATTTGATGTGGTTTGCCGCTTTTTAGTATCACTAATTTTGCCATAAGGTTTGATTCATTGACGATTTTGTGTTTGTTGTGAAAACGTTGCATCCTGGTGTAAATATCTGTATGTGCTGTAAATAAGCAGTGGTTTTACAGCCTTACAGTTCCCCTCTGATCGCTGAAATCCTCGCGCACCCTGTTACCCTGCTGTCGCTTGACAGAACAAGGCCTTCTGATATTTAAATTGAAACAGATGGATTTGATAAACCGTCTGAATGTGAATCTCCCCCAGGCCCGACACATTCCAGAGAGGAAAGAAAGCAACAGAATGTTGAAGCTCACACAGACATATGGGCCAACTTTTTGCGGACTGAAATAAGTCAATTAGTGTAATGAGATCATTTCAATTCCATTTCTGAATGCGGGCAAATATAGGAAGATAATCAGCCATGATTAAACAGTCAGGGTTGTGTTCAAATGCCCAGTGAAGTTAGACTGGCTGGGGCAGATTGCCTGGCACCTGTGCTGCATCAGTGATATGTGTTTTTGTACTTCCACTTCTCTTGACTGTCATCTTGCTGAAAGCCACAATGTGAAACATGTCCACTGAGGACTTCTTTGGGGACACGTTTTGGTTATTTTGTGTTTGTGCATTTGTTTAAAAAGTCTGTTCGCCTCTTTTTTAATTTACACAATGTAAATGAACAGATGGAAGAAGAAACATGTACCAAGACTGAAGACAATGCAGAGAGTTCAATGGATTCATCCAAAACGGATTCATGCAAAAACTACTTAAACTGAGGCATTTTATATTAATAAAAGCCTAAATTCCTCCATTAGCATTAATGTTGAAAGGTTGAAATCATTAATGAAACTGCTTATAATTTACACATGAAAATATCATTGCAAAGAATATTATATATACTGTGTATGTATGTGTATATATATAATATACAGTCTATACAGTCGTGATCAGAATTATTACATCACACTCAAAAAAAAAAAATATATATATATAAGTCAAATGGATCAAATGGATAAGGAAATTACAGTGCCTTGAATTCATTAAGTAATGTTTTATTTCGTTCTAACTAGGGATGTCAATTTTCGATCATTTCCATGATGGATCGTCGTTTAAATTAACGATCAATTAACTGATTAATCGTTAACCTTAATGCTGCAAAATGCGTATGCAGCCTGGCATGACAGGATGTGCAAAAGTTATGAAGAGAGCTCGTTTGAGATCATTTTACTTTGTTTCCTATTTCCTATCCCGACACGGAGACCGCTGAACGCGCCTCTTTAAATGGTTTCGTGGTGCTAGATTTTAAAACAATAAAATGATCCCAAACGTAACTGTGGCGCGTGCGGCTGTGCTGCGCAGTCAGTGAACCGCTTCCATCAGCGCTGCTGCAGGAAAACACACGGTTGCTCACATCAAACATGATCATGTGAGTATTATGACCAGTACTTAATTTGATCCTGCTGGATCCTGTTCCGGAAAATGTCAGATTTTGAATTTTTGCGTTGCGGTAGGCCTATTTGTTTTAAAAATCCGGCATTTACAGTGCATTAGATCGAGCGCGGGTTTGGCTAGATGTATTTGGAGGTTATTACTCATGTCTCATTCGGCACAAATCCAAATGTTTCCATACTCGTAAAGTATTTGAATGTTAAACTATTATTTATAATGTAAACTAGGCTTGTACTTTACACGCATTCGCATATAGACGGAAACGATCATCATTTTCCTTAAAGCATCCCATTTTGTCCCAGGGCTTGAAAACCTGTGCCCTAGGCTAGTTAGGTCCATGCAGAAACTAGTGAACGATGCTCAGTTGTGGCATCACCGTTTAGTGACATAATTGAATGCTCCGGGAAAACGTATAGTCAGTGTCGGTCACAGCGCCTTTTAATTGCTGTTTTTAATCCAGCAATTATTTATTTACAAATTATAAGCTCTGATTATGACAAGTGTGGTATAAAAGCTTTGTTTATTAGAGGAATAATTGGTTAGCTGGAAAATGTTACATCGCGACCATGCTTTTGGATGCCGTTCGAGCCCATATAGCCTACATTTATGCGGCTTTGTTCTGGTTTGCCGGTTGGTCACGAATTTCCACAAATTAAATAATATTTATGCATTGTTTCTTTTCCTAAATCCTCACCGTCTAACCCTCTAATTTCGCAGGTTTATTTTATTGTCATTCACTTTTTATCACTGTTTTCGCATCTAAGGGAAATGAAAGATTTCATGGCCATGAATTAAGAATTTGTTTGATTTATTAAATCATTCCCTCATTTTAGTTAAATCATGGGCTATATTTAAGGAACAAAGTTTATGAAACATGGACAGTGGCCACAAATTAATAAGTCGTAGGAACGAATTAACAAGTTGTAGGAATGAATAGCCTATCTGTCCTGTGTCCCGCAGCCCTGCAAAGCACAGAGCCCGATATGAAATAATTATCTGGGGAAATGACTTAGTTACTACATTTCTATTGCTTTCCATGTTGAAGAACTTTGTGTTGTTTCTATTTTAATGTACTTTTAAAGTTTAAATCACATTAAAAGCTTCATTTGTAATTATGAGTGAATGATTATGCATTTATATACCGTCACTCACAGCCGCTCGCACGTGTTTTGCGCATGAGCCGCACAAATTAAACGGCTTAATCGACCTTCGATAGCTTTAATCGATTGCATCTCTTATCGACAATTAATCGATCATCGATTAATCGTTGACATCCCTATGCTGAAGAATTAATAATTTCATCAATTTTGACCATTGTGACAGGTGCCACAGCAATATGCAAATAAATAAATAAATCAGACCATCACAATCAAATGAATATTGATTGGTGTCTGAAAATTCATTAATCAAATAAAAAAAGTGTGATATCTGTTGCAAGACTCTTGAAATAGCATTGTTGTCCCCTTAGTGATTCATGTTTTAAAAACAAAAGAAATTAAATAATATTTTCAGAACGCCAAGCACTTAATACTAGGGTTGGGTACCGTTCACATTTTAACCGGTACGGTACCTGAATTTCGGTGCCGGTACCCAACGGTACCTTTTTTTGGTACTTTACTCTCGGTGTAATTACAAAAACATTTATTTCAGTGAATATTCCTTTAAAATATTTTTTAATAGGCTAATAATTGTATTATATTTTTCTACAATTAAGTGATTAATCTGGTTGTAATATTTACTTTTATCATTTAATTGTTTTATTCAAATTTGATAGAAAATTTAATATTTAAAGATGTACATTATACTGTAGCTAAGAGAGAGCTTACGAATGGTCCAGACCAACCTTACGAAAGTGTGACTTACAGAAGATATACTTAGCGTACGAACGTGTCGGGAATCGTGCCATAACGTTAAGAGAGAGGTTAAGGAATAGGTTAAGAACTACTTAGCGATAAGAACGTTTTGGGGAACCGGGCCCTGGACTCCACAATCCCGTCCGCGTTTTCGCAGAAACCATATGGCCCTAGAAATGTTACCACACTTCAGAACATTTCGGCTTGCCCTGTGTGTTGTTTGAACCGGGTGGGTGTTTACGCAGTTGGCTAGAGCAGTGCTGATTGGGGAGAAAGGAGGTGCGCTCACTCTTGCCCAGGGCAAGTAAGACTGCAACTCAAGGCTGGCAGTCATGCATATGCTCTGGAACAGAGTAATATCCACATCGCAGGCTTTGCGATTAGCAAATCGCAACGTCTCAAATCGCGATTTCGATTCGATTTCGATTAATCGCACAGCCCTAACGTGAATCGGTACTCGGTAGTGCCGACACAATTCGGTCAGTACCCTTAAAAGTACCGAGTTCGGTACCCAACCCTACTTAATACATGTTAACAATTAATACAAAATATGCTTTTTATATCCTTTAATATACTTAACATGCATAAAAAGCAAATGAAATATTTTAGACTTTTTAAAAAGATGCTGATGTCCAATTAGTTTTGTTCCCCACAGTGCACACTGTATACACACAACTCCAGAAACCTACTAAAAATTACAAAGATTTGTGCATGTTAAAAACTAAATGTTTACAAACAGCAAACAGACAGGACACAAGTGCAGTGTGTCATAATAACAGTAGGAGCAATAAGATAAATGAGATTAAGTCCCCTGAAATGCCTTTTACTAATTTCACACAAACATTATCACTTACTTAAGTGTTGGAACAATGCTCTGCTGTGATTTCATATGCCGAAGGCGATACCACAGACATCTTCCATGAACTCGTCGTAAACTCTTCAACCTTAACTGCTCTGTGAATTAATTTACATAACAGACAACAATGAGGAAAAAAAGCAGCATTGTGCAATCTAACTCACACCCACCATGCAAACATAAAGATCCTGTCAAAACAGTACAGTGCCATTGTACAGTAATAGCTTTTGATAACAAATTATATAAAGTAATAGTATTAACATATTCAAAAAGCATGGTAGTACTGTTACTTTTTAGTTAGTGAGGTACTGCAAACCTTTTTTTTTCTATCTGAATGTGACCCTGTGTGCCTCTCTTACACTGAGAGCCAATATTGAGCCATAATGGACTATAAAAACCTATGAACCTTTCTTGTATAGATGTGTTACTGTGCACACTACATACTTGTTTGCACAACTGAAAATCTGCACTGTTTAACACAGTTATTTGTACTTTTATATACAATTATTAATTTATTAACATATTGTATTTCTCGTTAAGTGTTAATTTGTATTGCATTCATTCTAAATTTGTCATTTTGTTCTATTGCCTGCATAATCTACAAACCATTGTTTGCAAATATGGGTTCATTTATTGTGAATTTGATCAAATTCGACTGACTTACAATTTAATAGCATGTCGATCTAGTGCATGTAAACAGTATGCAAAAGTGCAGTTCAATAAAGAGTACAATTAACAAGAACGTGCATATACCACCATGAACAACTAAATAAGCAGATACCTTTGCAACATTTCATAACACATGCTGAAAAATGAGTGGCAGTGGATGCCATGCAGACTGGAAAGAAACAATTAATGATCAATGACGACCATTATATGAACAGATCAACTGATCTTAAAGCAATGTGTTTGTCAATATAAACAAACGAGGACATACGAAAAAAAGCATACATTAAACAGATGACCAGTACATTTAACGTAGGTTAATGTGATGATGGTAGCAATGCTCAAATAGACATTTAACCTGAAAAGTCTTCTTTAAAAGTATCTGCGTTAAAATCCATAACTGCCACTTCAAATACTGGAAATATCTCATCTAGTGTAGTTGAGCTGAGTGGGGGTCAGCTGCTACTGCTACGTATCAACAATCAGGCGAGCCATTAGTGTCATTAATGGATTTACCTTAGGTATTCGTTTTATTGAATACTGCAACGTCAGAAAATGTTCCTCACAGAGGTGGCAATCTAGTGATCAGTACTGATCATCAAGAGACATATAACGTGAACTGCTTAGCTGTTAGTGTATTAGCATGTGGGGCCTTACCCGCATTCTGATCCCGGGGCCAGAGGTAATAGGTGGCTGGGATTACTATTAATCCCACAAAGGACGTGAGGAAATAGAAAAAGGTGTTGCCACTGTCGTCGTACTGAAACTGCTGTCCAGCCATTTCGCAGCGGCTCTAAACCCCGTTTTTTTCAGCCGCCTTGCCGCCCTATCACTCGCCCCACTGTGGGACTAGTCACATATTATGCTGGAGAGGGAAGCCAGCATCCACGCACTTTCTGCCACGATTACGACTGCTTTCAAAATAAAAGGTTTTCGTGTTATTTGATTAAGAATGCCCGCCAGACTTTGGTCGTGTACAAATCGGTGTTTATTTAAAAAAACGCATGTTATTTTATTGTACTGCGACCAGGTTGCCGGTAGTATGAAGAATCATCAGATTTCCACGCTCAACATGACACGGACTTTTATTATGGCGTGTTAATAAAAACAGTCTTTGCAGTCGACGCTCTGGAACACGACAAATCCTTGCGCCTAGCAGTGTACGTGTTCTATGCATGCGCTCTACGGTAGTACGTGTTTTTACACAACTCATACATTTGGGTGCAGTTTTTCTTTTCTTTTCTTTCAAATAAAGAGGGGGTTTCATCCTGTACAGATTTAGGGATCCCTCACACAGGTTATTAGCCAACCCAAAGACTTAAATAGCATTTTGTATTATTTTTTATTTATAACTAATTAACATTCCATAATGCATAATGGATTAATAATGCATAGAATACATAGTAGAAAATACTGTTTTACACATCTGCTCACAGACCCCTAGTTGAAAACCCTGGTTTTAATTTGCAGATGAAAACTTTAGATCCCTATTATACAAAAACTTGTCCTTCTTGACTTTGTAATTCAACTTAAGTATTTTTATGTCACTCCAACATATTACAACATAGTATACATATTACAGTGATTAACAAAACAGTCACCTTATAATTTAAATTTGAACATTTTGTCAACATATTGCATTCATAATCGTATGCAACATTACTTGATAATACTTGTCTATTTGTACATATTTTCTTTTTTTAGTGTTTTGCCCAAGTGAGGCTGCGATGTCTTGTCTTTTAGATATTCCACCAAGACTTCCAGAGTGTCCGTAGGGTAGTTCATGGAAAGGTTTTTGGGCTACATCGTCCTCAATGCAGTCCACTGGCACATTATATGTTTCTAGGAACATGTTGTATAAAATACAGCAGGTCTTCACAGCTAAACTGGCTTGGCTAATGGAATGCTTCTGCAGACATCTGAGGCTCTGAAAAGTATTTCTCAGAGTACTGATTGAGCCTTGCGCCACTGCAAGAGATGACTGCACTTTCCGGTTATAACATACTTTTTTCTGTCCTATTGTTGCATAATCTGGGAATGGAGTCAGAAAGTGCTCTGAAAGTGGAGAGGTGGAATTGCCAATGATGTGTTTGCCATGTAGCAGAGCCACAGGGTCTTTTCTGCAATGCCTTGCCAACATCCATGGCTGACAAGACTCTTGAGTTATGCCCGTTTCTAGGGTGCTCTGCAGACACGTAGGTAAAACGACCCTTGTGGTTGCAAAAAGCCAAGAGTTTTACAGCATACAACCCCTCTGCGTTTCTATAAACCTCTGGATCTGGCACATCGGTAGGTTTCTCAATAGGAATGAAACACGTTCCTACTACACAGAGAGTATCTGGTAACCCCACAGTAGAAAAGAACCCCACCACAGACATTTCTGCTTCCTCCCCTTGTGGCCAGTTAATTTCATTAGCCAAGATACTGGTAACAAGGGTGCAGAATTCATCCAGCTGATCACAAATGAGTGAGACTGTGACGTGAAAGCGGTTTGCCACACTGTGGTAAGACTCTTGGGTAGAAAGAGCCCACAGACTAGCAAGCACAGCATGCCACACTGTCCATACCTCTTGCCTAATGGCAGTCCATTTCCAAGGTGCCAACAGCCGTACCAACTCCTACAAACACACACACACACACAAAACAATTTTGTTTTACAAAATACAAATGAGATTAGCAGAAAATAGGACCAGCATTAACTAAAGTACCTCAGTTTGAGTTGGAGTCAGCTGGAAGTGACTCTTAAAATCACTTATTTTCAAGCTTTGCAGCACGGTATTGAAAACATCTCTTTTGTCATCTTCTCTGACACATGAAACAGAATAATGTTAGAGCATTTATCTAATGTTTATTATAAACAGTATCTTTCTAATATCAAATAATGTGTGGATCATCTTACCTTTGCAGATTATCACTTGGTTCAGTTTTCAGCTTCATTCTATTGAAATATAAATTAATATAAAAAGAATTAGTTGCATCATTGGGTTTTCACTCCTGAAACTAAAAACAGCTTTTTAGTTGCTGGTTTCTTGCTGGCCATTAGTGGTCTTCAATCAACAGCTAAATATATAATCGAACTGTGTTTGGTACCTTGAAGGTACCAGCAACCACGTTTCAAAATATCACCAGTTTAAGATGGATTTTCAAAAGGCTGGACAACTGAAGGAATATTTCCAATTGTCAAACAGTTGCAAGTTGTAGTAAATAAAATAAGCGGCGCATTAAAAGAGGCACCGTGCTGTTTGTTTACGAAACTGAACGATACACAGAATACTGTTTTTTCACCTTACTTTCCGACGTTTGCGATTTGCATTTTTCTTGAAAAATAAGAAATCTTCAACATCAAAACTGTCTGCTAATAAAAACGCAATACATGTTTCCAGCGCCATGCTTTCCGGATTCAGACTGTTGCAATGTCGCCCTCTTTTGGCAAATCCATCATATAATGTGATGGATTTCCCCACTAAATGTGATTAATTTACTTCAGTGGATATTGCTTGGGAACTTGTTTGACAAACAAAGGCAAAATTAGGCTGAAAATATCTTAAATCAGCCTACGATAGTTAGGTGGTGTTATCTGGTTTAAGCTGGTCGAAATGCTGGCCTCCGAGAGTGACCAGCTAAAACCACTAAAACCAGCCAAGTGACCAGGCTGAAAACCAGCAAACCAACACAGTCTGGTTTAAGGTGGGGTTTTTTCAGCAGTGATGGCATGAAAACATATCTCGTCTCAGTCTATTAATTCACTCATATAAGCATTAAACAAAGTGTGGCTTAAAATTATATTCCATCGATAGATGGCACCAGAGTAATACTATGAACCTGGTGTATGATTCATCTCCATGTAGACAGTATGGTTCAACTGTTAATAAATTCCATGTAATTTACAAGAGAGAGAAAAAGATCAAGTGTGTATGCTGATATGAGAGAGAATAAAATGAGAGGAAGTGATCATGCTCAAACCCTCCTCAATAACCTTTGGCGTTTCCTCTTCAATCCCATTGACCTGAATGATGATGGCAGCACAAAATAACAAATAAGAGCTACAGTGATGAGACTGTTTACTTCAGTCTTGAGAGATGCTCTTACCGTCCTGCCTTAATCAGACAGAGTTAAATATGCAGGGAGTAATTGTGCAGGTCACAACCCCTCATCTTAATTTACACATTATTACATAGAGGTTATGCACTATAAGGCCATAAATCTGTATAAAAATCAACTATAACAAGTTGCATCGAAATTAAGACTGTGACATTTCCTTTTGTTTCATGCCTAAATATACTAAGTAAATGTTCTTTTTATAATGAGTGACACGGTTATTTAAAAACTTACTTTTACAATTCGTACCAGTGGATATACAGTTGTAGAAATGGTAAAATAAAGGCCAGTTCAATAAATATTTAATATTTGTGTTCATGCTCCTAATGTATTTTACATGTAATCATTTGAAACCTAAAAGTAGAATATTTGCATGTTTTATTCATGGCTACGCTGAAAATTAGACAGTTCGTCCTTGACTATGTTGCTCGTGCTTGACTATTTTCTTTCTTAACTGATGTTTTCAGATAATATACAATTGTAAAATTGTTCAGTATGAATGCGAAATAGAGAGTGAACAAACATTTTCATTAGAAAACGTTTTGAGAGTAAAAAAAAAAATAGCATCTTGAATTGATTTGTAACATCATGGCCATGAATATATATAGGCTTATTGGTGAAACAAATTATTTATTTTATCCAGTGCTTTCTGTTATGTTGTACTTAGCTAAGATGCCAAACTCATTTTAGAAATAGTATTGAATGCAGCTCATCATTGATGAAGATGAAGCACCACAGTGGCCACCTATTGCCTCCCTGAAATATTGCCTATTATTCTAGTCAAGAGGCTTTATAACCGTCTTATCCAGCTGATGGGCCTTGCACTGTACCCAAAGATGAGTGGGCAGGGTGCCCAACAGGGTCAGATGTTTCTGCCCTTATGCCATAGCACCTTATTCAAAAGCTCTTATTCTGACAGACCCCCTGGGTCTGTGTAAGCCTTGCCAACTGTGATCCTGTTGTCTTATTAAAAGAAGCAACGGGGCACAGAAGTCATCCACCTTAGGTTTCTGACACATCAATCAGCATCTGCAATGTCTCCTCCAGCTGACCTCTCATACGACCTTTGTAATGGGGTGGAACCTTTTAGAATGATCAACAACAAATGGAGGCTGGAACAGAGAGCTCTGTAGCCATCAGCAGTGCTAAGTGACCACTGTGATGAAGTGATTCTATAATCTATCATAATACCATAATCCCATGATCTTCAGACTTTGACCCTTATGAGGTCATAATGGCCCCTTTCATTCAGCAACACGTTGGCTCTTAAGTGAGAATTCTCTAATTATAAAGCTATATTTCTTCAACAACGCACCATACTCAGCTTTAGCTAATTGGCAGCTTTATAAGGTTTGTATAACTACCTAAGTTACACAGAAAGTATGTGTGATTGATGACAGCTGATTTATATACAGGAACCTCAAAGGATGATTCAATTACAGAAATGAAGAAAGGATGAATGAGAGATACAAATTTGATAAGTCAATTTATTTTGTGATCTCACTTATATCCCAGATAGTATTATTATATAAAAATAGTAGTATATTTATTATGATATTGCTACTAATCAAAGTTTTATCAGCTAACTGATGAACACTGCATACTTTTGTTTGCGGTCTAAAACATGAGATGATTATCCATTATCCTTTGAGATTTTTTTCCCCCAACATAATACTTGACCATAACATGATAGGTTAAATGTCATGTTTTGCAATATTTGATCTAACTTGTACTAATTTTGACAAATAATAAACAAAATAACTTGTGACGGCATATGCATACTACAGTCAATGTCATATTTTTTCCT